CATTTTGGCTTACAACTTTTGAAAAGTAGGTACATTATTTGTTTTACCTCAGCCCCACTCAAACCATTAAATCAGGCAACGGCGATGTTCAAAAGTGGCCAATGGACGAAAGTCAAAGTTTGCGTGTCATGCATGTTTGCATTTCGTGAATGCATATTACTTAACTGCCTTTACATTATATAAACTTTATATAGTAACTGTACTTTTATCTAAATGTATAGCCATCACATGGACCTTAAGTGACAAAGGGTCAGCCACACTTTACCGGTTACTGAGCTCCGTTTTAAACTAATGGACTTGCTTTAAAAATGAACTGCAACGAACGATTAAACGGCGCACATTGAAATTAACTGATTGGATCAGGCTGAGTTTATAATGGCCTCTAGGCCTATCTCTGATTACACTGCTAGACCCATTGTTACCGATTTAAAATAAATGTCACTGACGGCTGTAAAACACTACTACTGCTCTTTTGTCTGACTTGATTTAAACGGGGTGCCAAACTGTCTCTCCAGGTCGTGAATTTCTCCTTTTTTCAAGCCAAGTCTATACGGCAGCCTTAATTTTTTTTCTCTTTCATAATAAATGTGTGTGCGCGCCGCGAATATGTAGTTTTAATGATCTTGGCAGAACTATTGACTTCATACTTTAAGGGGCTCTTAATGTGTATTGTTCCAGATTTTTTCTTTCCATTTTAAACAGAAATAAAGGTTTTTTGAATTAATATGAAAAAACTAAAACCGAATTATTATTTTTAGTATAACTTGAAAACCAGAACAAACAGTTGATTTTAATGTGTTTTGACGTTATTTTACTATGGAACCAAAACAAAATAGAACTGTACAATGTGTGATGTTCATATAATTTATTTTCCGTGATATCTTGCCGTGGAAAAGCAGTTGTGCCGTACACTGTGCCGATGACAGCCGTTTCGTTCGCAGTGATAAGGTCCACTGCCGAATGATCTAACGCGTAAATTTCTAATACCGCGTTAAAATGATTGTTTTTCCTACGATTGTTTGCTATGTGAAGGGTCTATGTAGGCATGCCTTTCTTTTTGGACAGCGCTTAGCGCATTAGATGCACTTGTGTATGAGGGTCACGGTGAATGAAGTGACAGTGCCGCACTTTGTCACCGTGGTGCCGTTTGTCGCCTGTTCTTTTCTCGGCCGGTCGCTGAATGTAGTTTCGTGATTCAAGGAGATCTAGTTAAAAATGTACAAGCGCACAACTCCTCTAAGCAAGTAGCGAAAAGACCATCTGCTAAGAAGAGATCGTTGTTTATCCGGCCTCTCTTGTGGATAGTTATTTTCCCTCTGTCGATAGTTCCGTTTCATCGTGTAATTAATATAGGCTAATAGTATTTAATTAACGATATCTGCATTATGTATACGAGTTATGTTTGACGCCACTTTCATTTTATATTAAAGGTGGTAATGAGATGTTCTATCCAATATTTAACGTGCAGGTATGAAGATTTATTAAACTAAGCATAGTTTTTTAATGAAATATTTGTATGTGTACTGTGTACGGTTTTTGGCACTTCGTTGTCAGGTTGTGCAAAGTCCGATCTTTGCAGGCGTACTTGTCTAAGGACTAAACCTGTGGAATGACTGTCAGCATTTACGCCCGTCCTGAATAAATATACAGCCGCAGAGATAGTGCCAAGTGCATTGTTTAAATAAGAAACCGAAAGACTGATATAGATATTTCAGTCCTCTTGTCAAAATATTACTGACCGGGCCTTTCTTCCTGCAAATGACTTTTCTACCGGGCATTTGTTATATAACATTTGATAAAATATACAGCGACAGACAATTACAAATGAGACAATGTGAGATTTATGTGTTTAAAATTTCATTTTAAATAAACTTATCAACGAAATCTTCAAAAGCGGACGGAGCTTAGTTTTAATCTTTTTCTCTGTTGGGCGATTAGTCATGGCGGATATATTGCTGAATGTTTATTTCTCATGCAACAAAAAGTAGCAATAAATATTTGAAAGCCACGACAGTAAAGTATAACGCTTAAGTTGAGATGTCGCCTGAATTTTCTCCCTCTATTTTCCTCTCTCCTTTTTGGCAGTTGTTTTATAAACAGTGGATAGGAGCGGGCTGTCGGCTAAGTCAGCTTTTCGGAGCGATAGCCCTCAGCTCACTTTCCACTCTTTCTCTTCTCGTAAAAAAAGCCGAGGCGAACGAAAGAGGAGTTTCCCTCCCGACCGAGCAAAGGTCTTCGTTTTAGAGACCGTGTGGCTCGCAAAGATAAGATGCGGTTTCATATTAGATATACATTTAAAAGGTGGAGGGGAGACAGCTCTGGTACGGCTCTGCCGGTCAGACCGCGCCGGGCGCTTCGTGTCTGCGCAGCGGCGAGAAAGGGGGGCTTCGCGCGCGGAGCGGGTGCGGCGAGCGGCGGTACATCCCACCCGGCGTAAGGACACAGATCGCCTCCATCTGCAGCAGAGCAGCGTGGAGATCACTAAAAAGTGCAACACTATATATATATATAGCTTCTCGGAATTGACGCAATTAAACTAAATGCGAGGGTGTTGAGGAGACCCAAAGCTGAGCCAAAATCATAAAAAAAGCTTTCCTGCAAAAATAAATTGAAACATCTGTACGAGTGCGCAGCTGCCGCCGCCTCAGCGCTTGTTTATTTCATAGGCGCGTTCTTAAGGTTCACCTCATGCAGCACAGTGGTCAAACGCGGTGCTGTCTGTGGACGGTGCCATTGAAATATATCTATAATAATAATACTTATTATCCTAATATAATATATCATAATAAATGGCCGCCGAAAAGGATACTGCAAATCACTGGTTTTACGGAAAGGCCTCCACATACGCGTGCAGCGCATATTCAAACGTGGACCGCGCTATTTGTATTGTGAGAGTTTGCTTACAAATAACACTGGCGTCGTTTCTGGTCTACCTTTAAAAATAAGCGGGGAGAATATAACGTTGTTGTTGTATTACACTGTGTATAGAAATTATATATCCCTGTGTGTGTGTGTGTGTGTGTGTGTGTGTATGTATATATGTAGACTATATACATACATTTGTCAAAATGATGCCTATACTGGTAATAAGGAGATATTGTCTGTCCAGCAGTGCTCAGTTTGTGCAGGCTGATTGTTCAGTTGCTCAAACATTTGTTTCGGAAATGCATTGCGGGGAATTTCATTTCAATTGGGTTTTTTGGCATCTGACAAGCAGCAGCAGTTCAGACAAAATGTCAGGCAAAGGCATCTCCACTTAGCACTGAGATCGCAAGCAGCAATCCGCCTTTGATACGGGCCAGCCAGACACTCTCTGCGTCTCTTTCACTTTTCGTTGTTTATTTCAATGTTTTATTTTAATTGACTTACTTGCTTTCAGGTTAACTAGCATTAAAGAGGAAAAAACTGATGTCATCTAGGATGCTGGGGAGAATGTGTTTTTGAACGGCGATCAGAGCATAACTGCACATTACGGAGTATAAACTAAAATCAGACAGTTAATGATTTGCCAGTGTTTCCACGTTTTCATACTCGAACTGTTGGCAAATTGCTGGAGAAACTTCTGCCGCTCTGTTTGTTAATAACTGCTCAAATTTATGTCTGAAAATGGTTCATATTAATTCGAGTCCACAATGCCATTTGTGGTAGCATGTGTTTCCACTTTTATTGCTGCTTTCGTGGACATTTTCTAACGTCGCTGTTTATGTTATAGATGCCGCAGCATTCATTCATTCCTGGCCCCCTCGTTTCTTTAAACACGCTACCTGCGTCCCGGCATCTCCGTTTGCGGAGTGCGCACCAGCCCAGGGCTGAGAGATCGCCCCCCCCCCAGTCTTTAATCGGCCTGGGGAAGCGGGGCGGTCGCTGAAGGTCAGTCGGTGGCGGTGCGGGAGCCGGTCTGTGCCGCACGCCGCACTAAGGCGCACAGACCCGGCCGGCTTTTGGAAACACTTTCTGGCATTTGCACGTCACTGTCAGTTAGGTGCTGTATTAATATTGCGGCGTGGGCCGGTTCATTTGTGCGCTGTATAGGTTGGAGTATTTCTAACTCCTAATTCGTTAAGGAAAAAATCTGTGTGCTCGATTACCAACAAAGAATGGTCCTCTTTGCTGTCTCTGCATGGAGCCTTTAGTATGGCATATTCTCACTCTGTTTTTGTAAAATAGCAAAAATATCAGAAAGTGAAGCAAGTACATCAGGGTTAGGAACAACAGGGGGGTCTGTAGCTAAAAAAAAATCAAAAATAAAATGGCTGGATAGATATTTATTATGTTTGGTGATAATGGTGTTTAAATACCTTTTAAGAATATTTTGCTCGGCATTTATTTATATTTTAGTACCTGTAATTTTTTCAAGTAAAATTGCATTACTGTTATTTTAATGTTTATTTTTCTTTGCGTTTGTATGTGTGTGTGTGTGTGTGTGTGTGTGTGTGGTTTAAAATGCAATGGATATATGAGGGCATTTAAAAATTGCACTGCATCAATAGGATGTGTTTTGGGGGAAATATCCCCCCCCCCCCCGGCCCATTGTTTGTGTGGTAAATCTGGGAGCAGCTGTGACTGGAGCTGTGCTTTCTCATGCCAGCCTGAGCCAAGGTGCTGTAATGTGAGCAGAAAGAGAGAATGAGGAGAGGGGTGCTGGTGTGGGGGTGTCACGGCAGTGTGTGATGGTGGCAAAGTGTGGTGGGGGGGCGCAGCAGTAACAGTGGCAAGGTTTAGGATTGGTGCATGTAAAATTAATATCCTCTGGACTTTGCCTGCGCACTAGATAGGAACTTGTCAATTTGGCAAATTTTGTGCCGTCTGACTAAACTGCTCTCTGTCTCGCTCTCTCTCTTTTTCTTGCTCTCTCCATCACCACCACCAACCCCCCCCAGCCCTTGAAGCGAGCGTATTGGCTGGGCTGTAGGCGTCTCGTTGCCAAATAGGTGGGCCCTATGCACACTGGCAAAGACTCAGGCGATGGTTAGGGAAAGGAACGTAGAGAGAGAGAGAGAGTGAGAGAGTGTTGGAGAGAAAGGGGGAAAAAGGAAGGAGAGCCTTGGTTTGCCAGCGGTCGCACACGCTCTTCCAGCATCGATTGGGTCCTCTCCTTTTTTTTTGCCCATTCGGTGGTGGTGCTGTGCCCCCCCCCCGTCCCAGGCTGTCCTTGTGAGTCCTACGCAGGGCCCATAGAAACTCCGCAGACACCACGCACTGGCCTGCCAGGCATTTTTTTCCTCTTTAGATTTTTAAAAGCAGAAGAGGAGTGTGTTCGTGTAAGCGGCTTTCCCCTTTGCCTTTTTTATTACGCGTTTTTATACTGGGGGGCCACACACCTTCTCTGTGCTTTTTTCTCCTTTTTGCTGTTATTTCTCCTGCTCAGTCTATTTCTCTTTTAAAAATCTGCCTCTTCCCTCTCTTGCTGTACCGTCAGGACTCTTTTGCTGGTGTTGTTCCTGTGCCCCCCCCCCTCCCCCCGGTTTCCTCTTTTTTCGTACTTTTTTTTTTTTTTTTTACCAATTCCACTGGACAATTGGGGCTTTTTTCCCTGCCTTCTTCCACTTTCCTTTCTCTCTTTTTTCTTCCCCCCATCTCTTCTTGTAGCAGTTTATCTTAAGTGGCTGATACAGACAGGGATCCGAGCACCGAGAATTTTTTCTTTTCCCTTGCAATCGACGTGCTGAATTTATGATGAGAGTGCAAAATGGTAACTACCAGACTGTCTGCCTCCGTCCTTTTCTGTGTTTATTATTATTATTATTATTATTTTTTATTTTAATTTGGTTTCATTTTAATTTTTGTTTGCTGCCAGTTGTCTCTCAGTAACTTTTTGAGTGTTACGGTGGTAGTATTTGAGTTTGAGTTTGGTTTGGGGAAATAAAGGAGACAGGTAACAATATAGAAAGGCAGCTGAACATGCGGGTGACTGCTGCTCTCTGGCGCAGCGTGGTGGCGTGCGTTCACGCATCAGCCGGGTATTGTGGGATTGCTGAGGGGGTCTTATGTGTGTCGCACACCAGAGCTGCAGCCTGACCTGGGCAGATCTGTCTGGTTTAAGCTGAATCCCTAATGGAGGGCATTCTCGTACCCCATCCCACTCTACTCGTACGCATTCTGCATGTGTCTCTGTTTTTGTTTTTTTTTTGCTAGCATGTTGTTGTTTTTCCTTGTTCATTTTTTCTGTTTTTCTTTTTAATATTGCATGACAATGTCGCTTTTGATGTTGCCCTGGTCATTTGAGCTGGCCGTGTAACTGATCTTCTAAAGTATTGTCATAACTCAGCATTATTTTGTGATCCTTTGGCTTAAAGTACACGTAGCTAAATAATAGTCATCGTTTTGTCAGTTGTTCTTCTGCACCTGTGCCTCCTGCCAGTGGCTATTCTTCATCTCGCTGCACAAGTGGTTTTGTTTAAAATGCATGTTACATCCGCAGGCGACGTTTTTCCTGGCGCTTCCTCCCGACCCCTCACGCCGCGTCCGACGGGAACTCGGTCGCCCCCCGCCGCCCCGGTGTGCCACGCCACTAACCGCGCTCTCCCCCTCTCCCTCCTGGCACCGCAGGATGAGTTCCACCCCTTCATCGAGGCCCTGCTGCCACATGTTCGGGCCTTCTCCTACACCTGGTTCAACCTGCAGGCGCGCAAGCGCAAGTACTTCAAGAAGCACGAGAAGCGCATGTCCAAGGACGAGGAGCGCGCCGTCAAGGACGAGCTGCTGGGCGAAAAGCCGGAGATCAAGCAGAAGTGGGCGTCGCGACTCCTCGCCAAGCTACGCAAGGACATCCGGCCCGAGTTCCGCGAGGATTTCGTGCTGACCATCACGGGCAAAAAGCCACCATGCTGCGTGCTGTCCAACCCCGACCAGAAGGGCAAGATCCGGCGCATCGACTGCCTGCGGCAGGCCGACAAGGTGTGGCGGCTGGACCTGGTGATGGTGATCCTCTTCAAGGGCAGTCCTCTGGAAAGCACGGACGGCGAGCGGCTGGTCAAGTCGCCCCAGTGCTCTAACCACGGCCTGTGCGTGCAGCCACATCACATCGGTGTCTCTGTCAAGGAGCTCGACCTCTACTTGGCCTACTTCGTCCACACGCCAGGTCAGTGCCCTGAGAGCCGTGCCGCGCTACACCGTGGGCGAGGGCGCGTGCCCAAGCCACAGCTGATCCCCGCTTGGCAGAATTTACCGTCCGCCCCACCGTTGGCTTTCGCTCCCGTCAGAAATCCTAGCTTGGCGGAAATTTGCCGACGGCGATCGCGGGCCCGTCGCGGCTGTCAACCAATAAATAACACTCCTCTAGTTAAAAAAAAACACAACGAAAATCAAAGCAGGCCGTCGAGCGAGGTTCCTCTCTGGCAGGGAGTCTCACTCGGCGGACTTTCCGCGAGGCCGCGGCGGAGCGCCGTGACAGCTGGCCCCGTACCAGAGTGTGTGTAAGGCAAGCAGCGGGTCTCCCCCGTCTCTGCCCGCGGTCTGGCGCGGCCGCCCGCCCGGGCACCAACCCTGCGCCAGCCGTGCACATGGACCGTGGTCCGAGTCGGGCAGGGTGCTGCTTGCCAGCAGGAGAGGATAGATCAGAGACAGGCTTGCGCACTTGAGAGTGTGTGTACGCATTTCCTCTAACGTTTATTACTCCAATTGATACACTAAATGTCCACTCAAATTTTATTTAAAATATAAATCAATTAATATAAAATAATATGAAGCTGGCCATAATTTTAGCTTGTTTGTATTTGAGTTCCAAGAGAGGTTAATTTAATTTTTTTGTACATTTATAAAAATATATATATATATTTTTACTCTTTATTTCTTTTATTTATTTGTATTTATGTTTTAATTTGTGTTTTGCTGTCACAGATTTCTGTATTTTTCATGGAGATTGAATCTTATTTAAAGATTATTCTGTCTTAATTATTACAGGGTCTTAACTGAGGACACTTTGGTGATTTTACACTTGCAGTAAATGTGAAATGAGACACTTCAAGGGGCTTTTTTTTTGTTGTTGAATTATTATTATGAGTAATGAATAGCAGCCTGTTCTATTGGAGGGATTGGCCTGGTATTGGCAGTGTGTATTTTTATTAAAAGACGGGATAACAATTAAAATATGTAACCATCCAGGCTTAATTGTTTCCCCCGGATTCCTGATGGTGATGTGGGGCTGGTTACTGTCAGTGGCCCCGTATCACTGTCATTGTAATTACAGACGGCATGATTGTAACGCAGTTTCTGGAGGGAGCGCCGTGCAGGTGGAGAGGCAGGTCAGGGGCCGAGCGGATCCGGCGGTGAGCCCGGTGGAGCGTGCGGCCGGCCGCTCTGCAGCCGCGTCGGTAGCCCTGCGGCGTGGCGAGGGTGCAGGGACACCTTTCGCGGTTTGTTTTGGGTTGGCAGGAGCGAGGTGAGAGCGCGGCGCTGACATCCGGGTGAAGAGGGTGCTGCGGTGTGGTGCACCTCCCCCGAGTTTCTGCCGTCACCCCGCGTGACGCCCTGGCCCCCCGTCATCTGTGCTCCGCTGCTCTTATCATTCTTCGCTAATCCATTGTGTCCTGCTGCTTTCATCTGCCTCCCAAGAGCCCCGGTGCCACCCGGCGCCAACGGTGCCCCCCTTCCACCTCGGATCACCGCGGGTCCTTTCGCTTCTCGGCCGCCTGTCAATCCGTGTGAGCGCGCAGTTCAGGTTTTTGTTCCTCCTCCGTGCATCGGCTGCGGGTGGGGGGGTATCCCTGACGGGGGGGGGTTCTGCTTTTTTTATTTTAACGTGGGTGCCGTGGGTTCTTGCAGTCATTTCATTGCCGTTCGGTCTGATCTGGCAGCCGGCATGTATTTTCCGTTTATAAGCGTGGCCGCCGTTAATTAGGCAGTGTCCTCCTGCTTGTTTAGATTTGAGGAAGATGAGGAGCGATGTGGCTGAGCCGTGATTGTCCTTGTTGCCGGAGCGGGGGCCCCTCGGGGTCGGCGGGGCCCCTTTCTGATGTCTAATAAGCCCTGTGGATCAGCGGCAGGGAAACTTCAGGCTGAGCCAAACTCTTCTAAACCTTCCACTCTGCTATCCCACACACACGACCCTTCCCCATTTTCACTGCTTTCATATGTTTTAATATATGTAGTTATATAAATGAAAAGCATGGACAGCTTATTGGAGGGGGGCTCCTGTCATCCTTGGGGCCCCCAGTGTGTTATATGCCGGGTTTTTTATAGTGTGTCTTTGTTGGGGGGGTGGGGGGGTGGGCTTGAGCTCTGCTGCCCCCCACTGGGCCACCTCTGTGGTGCTTCTGGCCTTCAGTCACGCCGACTCTCCTTCTCGATGTGCCCGATTCCCCGTCCACGTGACTCTGCTCCTATAAGACTCAGTGTCGGACGTGCTTTTCTCTCAGACATTTGCACGGGATGCCAGCTGACGATGATGGGAAACTGTCGGCTCGCGTCCTTCTGACAGGCCACCTTCCTCTCGGCGCCAGTGACACTTGGAGCCGGAAGGTCACGTGTCGCTTGTTATTAATATGACAAAAACTTCTTTCCATTTATTGCTCTATGAACCGTATTTAAAGCCATCCTTGTCGCAGGTGGCTGATGCCACGACGACCACAGCACTTCGCCCACAAGACTGTGGCAGACGGGGGGAGAGTCCGATTTTCGGCCCCCGCAGCCTAACCCTATCAACAGTGTGGGTTTAGGAGAAGGGCCCTTCCTGGGTATATTGGCCCCAAGGTTTTTTTTTTTTGTGCCTGTGCCTTTAAGGAGCGATGGCCCCTTGCCCTGCTGGAGCCCGACTCTCTTGCTTGTTTATCGTGCCTTTTCCCAGAGAGATAATCTGTAATGATTCATTTCCTGGGCCGTCACGGGTGCTGACGGGGCGGCCAGGTCACATGACTCCGCGCGTGTTGCCAGAGGAGTAAGTTCGAGTTTTTATAGGGTTTTGATTAAAGCCAAACACACGGCGGCATTTTTCTTTTTTCTGTTTTCTTTAAGAGGCGGCTGCCTTGTGTCACCCTGGCTGATGTGCGCCGTGGGAATCGCTGGCCGCCGTGGCGGCGGAGAACTTTTCCCACTCTGAGCGTCTCTTGGCACTAGCATTTGTTGGGGGTGGGGGGTGGCGGCTGGAGTTGAGAAGGGTGTGCGGGGGTGTCACTAAGGAGAGGCTGTCTCTGATACATCAGGGGACAAGGTGCGGCTGTATGGGGGAGGAGGAGAGATTTCGTAAAATGAGTCCGCCGGGCAGGCTGATGATCCCGGAGCGTGAATGGAGCGGCACACGCAGACGGTGCTGGCACATGCCACCGTGGGCGATACAGAGTGACTCCGGAGCCGGGTGGTGGGAGTGTGATCCGCGCGCGTGAATTTAAGGTCCAGCAATAACGATTTTCCATCAAATATAGCGCCTCACTTGGTACAGAGACGGCCAGTGAAGGTTGTCCCTCTCTGCCGCCGTTTATTTACCATAGCATCGCAGCTCCTTTGTTCTTAAATTTTTTTTTTTTAATCCCTTTTGGAGCCTGGTGGGGGGGGGGGGGCTTCTGTGTTGGCAGAGGGTCTGCAGGCTTGGGGGGGGGCTTTTCTCCCTGTTGTGTCCTGCCGTCATGTGGGGACACCGGGCGAGGGGAGACTCTGGTAAACCCATTAATCTGAGGAAATCGGGGTCCCGCCCGGGCACTCCTCGCTGTGGGGTCACCCCGATCCCGTACCCCGCCCCCTGCCCCTGACTGTGCACAGAAACTGTGCTGGAAGCAAGCTGGCATTAAAGAAGAAAACACTGTTTACAGGCTATAATTTACTTTAATAAAAGCCCTCTTTCTTTCACTTTTTATTATTTTTGTCAGGTCCCTCCAAATCCGTACAGGACTGATGGCAGACAGCTGGAGGTTCTAAAATAACATGTGTGTCTGATAAGCTCCGCCTCTGTAATGCCCTTTACCTGCATGGGAGACTATATGCATTTGGTAATAATTCTGGATGTTTTTGGCGTCGAAAGGCCCTCATGCACCGCAGACATGAAAACAAGGTCCTTCTAGTTTTGTGAATATTTCATAGTTTGCAGTTTTGTAAACAAACAGTTCTGACCGGCCGGTCACCACGGGAACGAGCGCGTGGCGGCGTACGTGAAACGGGGGCCGGCGAGCTCCAGAGGAAGCTGTAAAATCTCGGGGGGAGGGGGAACAGGGGACATTGTCTCCCCAAGCACGGTGCTTTCTTTGAGCCCGTTTTGTGCGGGTGCCAAGTGAGGGAGCCGGCTGTCCCCAAGGCTGCGGGGGGGGGCGTGCGGTTTGAACCTCGTCCCCAACTACCTTCGCTGTCAAAAAATGGTCGTTCTCTGAACACTGAGGACGTGTTTCCGCCTCACTTTGCCCAGGCTGGGGGACGGGGTGGGGGACGGGGTGGGTCACGTGGTGCCGAGCGTGGCGCCTCAGATCCACGCGACCCGTGCCAAATCCTCAGACCGCCACACCATCTCTGCCAGCACCTTTCCTCCTCATCCTTCCTTTCTCGTCCTCTCTTGCTATTCATGGACTGCCCGACGCCCTCCTCGCCACGGTGTTTCGGGTAGCCATCGTTGTCCACACGTACCTGCAAAAACAAGAGCGGTTTAATGAACGCTTACGTGGAGGTTTTTCATAAATAATGTTATCTGCGATATATTACGACAGTTCACTATATATCTGCCCGTTAGTATACATTTCTGCTATAATCTAAAATATATATAACCAAAGTGTAAATATATAAACCAATATACAAATACAATGATGACAAAAAAATCGGAATAGCGCAAGAAAATATTAGTGCTTATTGAGTGTGTGTCATATATCTCGTTAGTGTTGTTATAAATCAAAGGGGCGTCCGCTGTGTATTGCGGAGTGTTATCGGTGCGTCCGGCTGTGATGTGTGAGAGCGTACGCGGGCTGCTGGAGCAGAAGGGCGCTCAGACGTGCATTTAATTACACTGACGAGCGTGTTGGAGCCGCACTCCCTTTCTCGTTGTCGCCTGGGCTGTGTAAACATGTACTTTCATAATTTTTTAAAATGTTTGTCACTGACTGTTACAGTTTTGAGGAAGAACATCGTTACTGGGGGGGGGGTGAAGGTTTGGGGTTGGGATTGGTGGAT